TAAATGTCATGTCATGACGGATATCTTCTCCTTTTGCAGATGTTGAAATACATTGGCATGATAGGAATTTGTTAATGGTCAGCCTCATATATAAGGATGATTTTGGGATTGGCGGGCGTGCTCAGTACGAGGTAAGTGCTGTCTTTTGACACTTGTTTTCCAACAAAAATCTTAAGACTAAATTTTGTTATGTCTTGACCAAAAGTGAAATCATAATCTTAGGTTAGAACGGTTATGGAAGATTAAATTTGATCATACATATGATGGGTTAATGACTGGGTACGTAAGAAATGTTGCCCAATCCGATCTAAAATTGTGAATTTTCAGCTTAAGAATAGGAAAATCAGGTGAAACATTTGGACGAAAATTTAAAGATAACAGCAAGACAGCAAGATAAAAGAAAAAAAATGATACTAATATTGCTAAATTATCTAATTGGGAAAGTTAGGACATAAATGGGAGACTTATCTTGGAGTCTCCAAGATAAAAATACTGAAAATAAAAGATGAAAAATACGTAAATTTAGCTTTATCAATAAGAGTTAAAACTTATCCAACTCTCCTCGGCTCCGCTTTAAATAGAGTCTCTGGAAAATTCTCCAACAAATACCGTTAGAAAGGCAGTTTTGCTGAAGTCATATATTACCGGTAAATTAATTAGGACAGAAATAACAGGCACCCAATTCAAACTAGGGCCTCAAAGGAGATTTGCAGTTCTTGGCAGCTGTTCTATTTTAATACTAGTTCTTTGTGCATCGATATTATGGTTTCATTAAATATCAATGCATAATTCGAATTTTGTATCCAAAGCAATTCTGGTTATACCCAGCACGTGGCAGTAGGTTTTATGTTGCTAGTTAGGGCTATACATACATACATATATATATAGAGAGAATATAGTGTTTATCCGTCTTACTTCTTAAAGATTAAGAGGAGTATTATTTCAAAACTACGTCATTTTAATAAACACTTAATGAAAAAAATTAAAATATTTTATTTTTAAAGCATGAATTAAGGTTTTTTTTGTCATTTTTTCTCAATTTTTTTAAGGAAAGGTGAACAAGTACTAACCACATATATATATATATATCCTCTGGATTGAAGCAATGACATACCAAAATGGTAATTTTTGGACAAAAAGATGTAGAGGTTCAGAATCCGAGTTAGAAAAATTGTCACATATGCTCTAAACTACTCTGAGGGCTGTTGTTTCCAAATGCCAAATCTTCATTTTGTTGCCCTTTCAGGTCAAGGTGTTAAGAGCCAAAAGATTCAAGGATAAAATCATCATATCGCTCCCGGCCAATGGTCAGCTTCAGCTTGGTTTTTAAATTTTTGCTGCAATACTTAACCTGAAAAATCCAACCATTATGTGTTTCTCTGAGAGACGATGAATTTAAATTTTAAATAATTATGGTTTATCCTGTTTGCAGGTCAAAGAGTGGAATTAGATGTCAACTACGAACCTGATGATAAAAGCACCTTCCCAGACAATACTTCTATACTCATTTGGGTTATCATTTTGTGGATCATTTTCGCATTTTTTGTCATCTCGAAGTCTTATTGGTACACCTACTTCCGTTATGTAGAGCCTGGGCCCCGTGTTTTGCAGCCACCTCCTCCTCCTCCTCCTCGTGCCATTACAGCACCTGTTACACCTGAGCGTGGTAGTCCTGGAAATTTCACTGAACAATCTCCGCGCACACCTCAGCCATTCCTGGATTATGTCAGGAGGACTATAGACGAAACTCCATACTACAAACGACAAGCTAGGAGGCGGATTAATGCACAGAATACTTTCTAGATTCATGGTTCAGAGTTCAGAGAGGATAGATTGGTAGGATTTAGGATTATGTCTCCCACGGATTAATGCACCCCACTCATTTTTCTTCTTGTATGATGATAATGGGTATGATTTGTATGACAAGTCGTCAGATCATGGCATATGCCTTTCTAAGTTTTGGTGTATATGCTTGTAGACTTCTTGTAGCAAACTCTTAACATTATTTTAGTTACCATGTTTCAAATGCTCTCTCCATCCATGGAAAAACATGCTCTCTTTTCCTTTCTGTTACATTCTATTTTATTTAGATATAACCTGGAGTAAACTTATTAAATTTTAAAATTTCATTGTGCTTTTCAAAATTTTCAACTTTAACTTTATCCTTTTTTTTTTTTTTTTAACTTTAATTGCTATCCTATTAAAGAAAGTC